CTCTCAACAGAAGCAATGCAAGCAAGGAAAGAATGGGAAGATGTACTGAAAGTGCTAAGAGAGAAACAATTGCAACCAAGATTATTATATCCTGCAAGATTATACTTTATATGGGAAAAAAAAAGATTAAAATCTTAGACAAATAAGACCTGAAAGAATTTGCCAGCACCAGACCAGCTCTTAAAGAAACCCTGAGAAAAGTACTGTTCCAGGAAAACTAAAGAGGTAACAAACAGAAATGAAGGAATAAAAGGCTACTGTGACAATGGCCAACTTAAATGCTGGGACAAATCCAGTTACATCGATAACAACATTGAATGTAAATCTATTAAATTCTCCAATCAAGAGACACAGACTGACTGAATGGATATAAAAATAGAGACCCTCTATCTGTTGCCTACAAGAAACACACCTCATCAACAAAGACATACAGAGACTGAAAGTGAAGGGCTGGAAAAAGGCTTTCCATGCAAATTGGAACCAAGAAAGAGCTGGAGATGTGATACTAGTCTCTGACAAAATAGACTTTAAAACAAAAACTATTCAAAGAGACTATTTTGTAGTAAAAAGATCAATAGATCAAGAAGATATAACATTGGGCTAGGGAAGGACTTCTTACATAAGATCCCCAAAGCACAGTCAATAATTTCCAAAATAGACAAGTGGGATTACATCAGACTAAGAAGTTTCTGCATGGCAAAAGACACAGAAATTAGTGTGAATTGACCGCCTTCAGAATGAGAAAATATTTTTGTAAATTAGGAATCAGATAAGGGGTTGATAACCAGAATATACAAGGAATTAAAGAAGTTATTTGGAAAAAAGTTGATCTGCCCTATTAAAAGATGGAAGAAGGAGTTGAAAAAAAAAAAAAACACTCACTAAAGATGATATACAAATAGCCAAAAGGCATATGAAAAAATGTTCAACATCCCTCATCATAAGGGAAATGCAGATCAAAACAACAATGAGATACCACCTAACCCCAGTCAGAATGTCTAAGACTAAAAGAACAAAAATGATAAGTATTGGCATGTGTGTGGTGAAAGGGGAACCCTCTTACACTGCTGGTGGGAATGTAAATTAGTCCAACCACTATGGAGAACAATTTGGGGATTCCTCAAAAGTCTACAAATAGAACTATCATATGATCCAGCATTTACACTCCTTGGAATCTACCCAAAGGACATAAGAATTCTTCATTGGAAAATGCTTGCACATTGATGTTTATTGCGGCACTTTTCATGATTGCTAAGACATAGAACCAACCCAAATGTCCCCATACAGATGAATGGATTGAAAAACTGTGGCATATATTCTCTATGGAATACTATTCAGCCATAAAAAACAACAAAACCCTGGCTTTTGACAGAAAGTGGCAGAATATTGGAGATTTATTGCTGAGTGAAACAAGCCAGGCTATGAAGAAGAGACATTGTATGTCCCTACTTAATATATACCGAGTGTCCACACTCTATGACTGAAACGGACGGGCTAAAGGATGTACAAACACAAGCGATGGATGTGAATGCCAGATGTGGTGTGCGTGGAGAAGTGGGGCCTGGGGAAGGACTTTTGGAGCAGGGATATAGAGACAGAACATTGTCGAGACAAGGAGGTAGTGTTGTTATATTTCAATCAACTGGACCGGGGAGAAATGTTCATATATTGAAATATTCACGTTGTAAGCTAAATAATGTGATTGAATGTATAAAAAAATGTAAATATAGAAATAGATAAAATGAAAAACAAACAAAAAAATATACAAGTAACCAATAAACATACGAAAAGTGCTTTCACTTACCACTGAAAATGAGAGATAAAAGTATAAGAATGAACCAAAGAGAAACACTAAACCTGAATAGTACAAAAGCTTACATTTTAAAATTTTTGAGCATTTAAGAAGAGAACTAAGCACATCCCAAACATTCAATAAAATCTAAGTAGGATAAGCATAAAGAGATAAAAATCTAGAACCTGTGAAGGTTAGAAAACAGTGAGATAAATAGTCTATCCAGTATTTTATATCTGGCTATACTATTCTTCAAATAAAAAAATGGTAAATAAAAGTTAAAGGGATTGTTCTGTTGTAAATATATAGTAACAGGAATGCTGAATGTTGTACTTACACCTGAAATTGCTATGTAATGAAAGAACACTAGAAATCCATTTGAAGAAGTATAGAACATCAATAAAAGTAACTCTATAACTAAATATAAACTCTAGTATTTTTTTTTTGATAATTCATTTTTTCCTCACAATATGATTTAAAAGACAAATAATTGCAGGGGCCAGGAGTAAGTCTCATACCTTGCAGCTTGAAAACGTGCTGGGCACATATGATCATGTGGCCAAATCTTCAAGGAACAAATGAGAAAAGGACTATGGTGTGGGCGTTCCCCTGGGAAGCTGATTTCTCATTTTCTCTTCTCTTTCCCAACTCCTCTCTTGTGAGTGCACTTGCCTTATGGCCAAAAAAAAAAAAAAAAAGTAATCCTTGTTAATGCATGCATAGATAATGATGTATTTTGTGACAACTTTAATATAAAAGAAAAATGGAGCTATATAAGGATAATTTTTTTAATATAGCACATAGAAAGTTGGTATTATATCAAACTGAATTGTTACAAGTTAAAATTTTAATAGTAGTCCTCAGGGCAAATAATAAGAAAAACTAAAAATCTGAATAAAAAATCAGAAGGAAACCAAAATGATAAACAAGAAAAAAATATCAAACATTGAATAGGCAAAGTGGAATTAAGAAATAACAACGACAAAAAGATTTTTAAAATAGGAAACAATAAAACAGTTAAAGTCCATGGATAAGCAGATGGTGTAATGGCTAAGTCGCTGGATTCCCACATAATTGACTGCAGTTCAAGACCTGGACTGGTGAATTAAACTCATGCCAGGCAGGTGTGTGCATGCATGCCTGCCCAAGATCCCAAGAGGTGAATGGAGGAGAAGGGATTGCAACGTGGCCATCACCCCACCCCACCCCCCTACCGTGGGTACTTTCTCACTTTCTGTCTCTCTCTCTCCTTTTGTCTCTCTGGAGAGTGCACACGCCCTATAGCAAAAACTTCTGAAAAAAAAATTAAAGTCAATCTTATCAAAATTTAATTATCTAATTACAAATAGATTAATAATGTCAGCTAAAAAGAAAGATAGAATGAAAAAATATATATTTATTTGAATAGAAGATACTCTATATAAATAGTAACCAAAACAGAACATGTTTGGTTATAGAAATAAAACATTTTAAGTAATATGTTAGAAAGAAAAATAAATAAAATAGAAAAAAGAAACACAATTAAACAAGTTGTTCTTTAAAAGGATTAACAAAATTAAAAAATTAACTATAACTTGCATGAGATGGATGAAAAATAAGGGTACCTTGGGAGTTAAAACTTAAGTATTGTTTCAGGGCTTGCAAGTAGTGTGGTGGTTAAAGTCTCTGGACTCCCACATGGCCAGCTGTGATTCAAGTCCTGGACCTGGCAGCTTGCTTTCTCACTTTCTCTGACTCTCTTTGATTGAACTGAAAAATATTAATAATAAATAAAGTTAAATAATATAAGTCTTTAAAAAAGTAAAACAAATATTTTTTCAACTCTGTCTCTTTGGATATAACCAAACTGTAATCATGTGCCTGACCACAAGCAAAACAAGAATTGACTTACTTATAGTCAACAAGGACCACTACTCTGACCAGCAGTTAGCATAATGGCTCTGTCGCTGGACTCCCACATAGTTGATCGCGTCCCAGACCCGGTGGCTTAAAACTCACGCCAGGTGCCTGTGTGTGCGTGCCCAAGATCCCGAGAGGAGAATGGAGGAGAAGGGATTGCAGCGTGGCCATCCACCCTGGGGCGTGATTTCTCACTTTCTGTCTGTCTCTCTGGCGAGTGCACATGCCCTATAGCAAAAACCTCTTAAAAAAAAAAAGAAAAGGACCAGTACTGACTTGGTTGTAAACCAAGTTTCTAGTTACAGTCAAGAAGAAGGACAACTATTGACCCAAGTATGAACTATGCCACTTCCTAATACTAAAATAGAGATTTTAGATGGTAATGTTAGAGGTGATTAATGAAAATGCATACACTGAGAAAACTCCATATCTTGCTATGATCTCACAACCTTCTATTTCCTACACCAATAGAAACCTTCAGGGAGACATCTGGGACTCTATTCTCCCTAATTATATAACCTGCAAAAAAAAGTTAACCTGAGTAGGATCAGCAGATGGCATAATGATTATGTCACTGGACTCCCACGTGGTGGACCACAGTTTGAGTCTCAGACACCGAGGCTTGACAATCATGTCAGGCCTGTGTTTGAGAATGCTCAAGATCCTAGGAGGACAGAGGAATTGGGATTCCTGGCCTGGTCATCTCTACCAGAGGCTGATTTCTTGTCTTCTGTTTCTGTTTCCTTCTCTCTCTCTAGAGAGCACGCTAGTCCTATAACAAAACAAAATTCCCTGGGATTCTGCACCTGTGTTCTCAAGGACAGTCAATGTCTCACAATGGAGAGTCTCCACCTCTAGACAGACAGATTAAAATAAACAGATCTATCTTTCTCAAGGACTTCAAAGCCAATGTCTTTGAAATGTAAGATCATCAATAGAAAAAGAGAATATGCTTTATCTTTAGTTTCTGTGAGAAACCTAACCTTGTTTCCTTGAAGTTAACATTACATGCTGTCATAAAGATAGGGAGTTTGGTTTTCCTCTGGTTAAAGCCAATTAACTAACACTTTTTGTTCTCCTCAATTTTCATAGAGAAGCTACAATGGGACAAAAGTTGATGTCAGTGGTGTGACAATGGTGCCTCGTAATTACCTTGACACGTATGCAATCGATTGTAACTGTTTGATTATGTAAAAAGGTTGAAAGTAACTTTTTATGACCAACGGATTTTTCTCTTTTCGCCAATGGAGGGAGTATGTTCTAATACGTGTCAGTCAGTCAGCCACGCCTGCGCAGTAGGGTGGGCAACGGGGGCGGAACACACAGGCTACAAGAAGTGGGGGTAGGGTGGCGGAAAGCTACGCAAGCCGTTGAGACTGGGTTCACTGTTTTCCGAAGAGGGGACGCGTTTACTACTAAACTGCTTAGTACAAAATCGGTTGTGTTCACGCAACGTAATAGGTCGATGTTCTGCTACCAGGAAACAATCAGCCGCTTCCACCAGTAAGAAATAGAAGGCTCTGAGAGGCCACAGTAGCCGCCATGCCCAAGAATAAAGGTAATACTTCTAAATCTCGGCCCCCAGTTCTGCTTTCTTCGGTCTTTCTGACTCTTCTGGGTCACCGAGGCTGCAGTGACTTCTCCTTCCTTCACTGTTTTCCAGCCGAGTATCCTGCGGGCTACTCTCAGGTTAGAACGCTAGCTGGGGAGTTACTTGCGTTTCCCAGTTGGGTCACGTTAGGGTGGAGTAGACGCCATTTTTGTAGGGCCTTATGTAGGAGAGCGGCTTTTTTGGCTCCGAATTCTCGCTGCGCTGATCCCGAGCCCTTCTCGAGGTAGGGCTTGTACGACCTCAGATGGATCCCTTTGGCCTTCCTGGGCCTGGGAAGTTAAGTCTTGGAAGAAATTCTGAACTTTGAGAGATAATTCCTGCTTTAGTGAGTTCAAGGCACTCACGTGGTGTCTTAGACAATTTTTAGGAATATTTTTAAATAGTTGGTGAAATTCTAAAACATTGTTTATTTCCACCGACATGTTATACCTTCATTCAGTTTAACAGCCTTTTCCAAAGGACTTGTATGTGTAGCTTGTTTAAAATTAGTTTCAGATGGTATAGTGATAGTAAACCCCTTTACCTGTGAGTTCCCTTAACTCTGTCTATACATTCACACATTAACTTGAGATAACTTTACTTGGAACCTCCAAAATGGCAGGTCTAACCCTAGTACAAGCAGCACGGTAGTATAGTCATTACTGTACTACCAAAATATTTTTTTGATAGACCTAGCATTTTGGCATTTTTAATGTCCTTATCATTTCTCAAAGAAAACTGCTCATAGAAACAACGTATTTTCTACAGAAGACCACATTTCACAATGCAGTGCTCCCTGTCCTCCACTTTGCTGTCTGCCAAACTAACTGATACCATTTTCGTAGAATTTTTTTACTGCTGATTTTCTAGAAACCACGGGTGATAGGGAGCAACATCTTTCTAACTATGTATTAGAAAAGACTAATAGTTTATTGCCGGCCCTTATAATCCCTTATCTATTCTCTTGTGGTAGTTGGTCCATTTCTGTAGATTATCTTACTCTAACCTTAAAAAAAATTATTTCTACCCTGAGACAGAGATCTACCACCACAACAGGATCTTCACACCATGATACACCTCCAACTCCAGCCAAGTCTCTTTTAAGAAAGAAGGATATGTGAACTCTTAAGTTACTCTAATTTTTGCAAGATAAAATAGAAATTATGCACTAATGTCTCTTCACATACAGGAATTTAATATTTAATATTTTTATCCCTGTCTCTTTCTGACAAGTGCATGCACCTTGTAGCAAAAACCTCTCAAAAAAAAAAAGGAACCAGCAGTTGGCATAATATTTAATATTTTTTTGTCTTATGAATTCACTGTGGATTCTGTAACATGACAGGAAAATAGAATGATTTGGGTATGGTTATTTCTGGTAAATTGACAATACATTACATAATTTTTGAGGCACAGGAAAGTATAGATAATTTAAGTGACATCAGAACATAATAATTAGAACCTGTGTTCTCTGAGGACCTCTGTATACCCTTCCAAATATCCTTTCTTTGTCTTTCATGGTGGCAAAGAACAGTGTGCCACTGCTGGAAGAGGGAATGGGAGCCTTCATTAAATGTCTGTGTAGTAGCCAGGTGTATTATTTATTTATTTATTTTTATTTGGGGCGCAAATTTTTTTGTTTCAGACACTTCTCATAGGTCTCTTACTAATCTTTCTCCTACTTTAGGAAATGACTGCTATTGTAGTTTTAAGTTCTTGAATGAGAATAAAATGTTAAGAACTACCCAAGTTTTAATCAGAGTTAGTAAGTAGCTCTTAATATGTACAACTTTAATAGTAAGCAAAAATTCAAAAATTGAGTAAGGTATGATTTTAAGTCTTTAATATCGTTAAGATTGGAGTGAAACTGGCAAGGTGATGGAGAACTAGATACATTTTTTCTTTGCTCATGGGTGCCTAAACTGATAGTTGATTGAAAGTCAAAGAAGTAGCAATTTTATATCTGTACATTTGCCCTATAGAAATGTTCATAGAATAACCTTTAATGAAGTTTTATGTAACAGTAGTGAAAAATATTTCAGAAAACTAAATTAAGCGAGTGTGTGTATTTTAATGGTTGAAATGTTGGTCCACATGTATAGTTAATGACATGAATAAGATATTCAGGAGAATTTACTGAGTGAAGTTATGATATATAGAGTTGTCTGGAAAGTCATGATGCAGTTTTGCATTGAAAAATATATCCCAAGTGTCCTGACAACATACTACTATAGAAGAGAATAGATGGAATACTATTTATATTTGGAAAGCACAGACAGGTGTTAAAAGTATATCTGTCTAGGTAATAGAATGGTTATCTGTATGCTTTTATTTCAGAAGTAACCAAACACAAATATATTAGAGAGATAGGGGACTTGTGGTATATATAGGGATGTGTGTGTGTCTATGTATTAATATAACTGTATGTATATTGTATTGTGTATATAATATATATCATAGTACGATGCATTGTAATTATAGTTATATATGACTATATATTGTATTGCATATATTATATGTGTAATATATGTTAATGTAATATATATCCTTATATAAATGTGATAAAAGACTTAAAACTTTTGATAAATTAGAAGTGTAATCTGACTGCATAATATTGTAAATGTTTCATTATTTTTTTTAATACATTCGATCGCTATACATAAATTAGCTTGTAGAGAAAATTTACCCAACATGAAATGCACGTCACACTAGTCCAGTTAAGGATACTATATAAGTTATCAGCAGGTAATAAACCATTTCTGTGTCTCAGAAATGTCTTCTCTATTTTTATCCCTAATTTGCTTCCTACAATCTTCCCTTTTCCTACTCTCCTCCTTCCACACTTTCTTCAGAGACTATAACTATTTTCAGTGCTTTTATGCCCTCTATCTTTAAGTTTATTCCATAGAGTGTGGACAGTTGGTATATGGTAAGTGTATACATACTATGTTTTTCTTTCATAGCCTGCGGTATTTGTCCATTTTCTATCAAATGCCTGGGTCTTCTTTTTAATGGCTGAATAGTATTCCATGGAGTATATGTGCCATACACTTTTTCAGTCCATTCATCTGTCCATGGACATTTGGACTGGTTCCATGTCTCACCAATTGTTGAGTAATGCTGTAATAAAGATGTTTATTCTCAGCATTCTTTGTTCTTTGGTAGATCCCAGGAGTGGATTTACTGAATCATATGGTAGTTCTATTTGTAGGTCTTTGAAGAAATTTTATGTTGTTTTCCACAGTGGCTGGACTGATTTACATTCCCATGAGTGGTGTAGGAAAGTTCCCCTTTCACAACACCCTGCTGACACTTACCATTTTTTGCATTTTTCATTGCCATTTTGACAAGGATTAGGAAGTATTCCATTGTGGTTATGATTTGCATCTCACTTTTGATGAGGGATGTTGAGAATTTTTCATACGCTTTTTGAGTGTTCATATGTCTTCCTTAGAGAGTTTTTTGTTCATCCCTTTATTAATCTTTTAATTGAATTCACAGTTTATTTTTTTTTGTTGTTTTTCAGGTCAGCTGCTTGCGGTCCTTGTGAATTCTGGTTGTCAGTCCCTTAGCTGATGCATAGTTTACAAAAATATTCACCCATTCTGAGGGTTGATGATTCACACTAATTACTGTGTCTTTTGCTGTGCAGAAACTTTGAAATCTGATGTCATACCACCTGTCTGTTTTTGAGAGTATTACCTGTACTTGGTGGTGGGGGGGTGCTGTCTTACTTTAGAAGTCTTTGGCTACTCCAGGGTCTCCTAGAGCTTCCCTAGTGTTTTTCAACAGTAGTTTTATAGTTTGAGGTCTTAGGTTTAAATCTTTGATCCACTTTAAGTTGATTTTTGTTAATGGTGAAAGGTGGGAGTCCAGTTTTCATCTTTCTGTAGGTGGATACCTAATATTTCCAGCACTATTTGTTAAATAGGTTTTTCTTTTCCCACTGGATTGACTATTATCTCTTGTGAAAAATCATTTGGGTCTATGTTTTGGGGGTTATTTCTGGAATCTGTATTGTGTTCCAGTGGCCTACTTGTCTGTTTTTGTGCCAATACAATACAGTATTGATTATCTCAGCTTTTTGATATATTTTGGGGTCAGAGAGTGAGATGCCACCCATTCCACTCCTGTGCAGGTTTGTTTTGGCAATACAGGGTTTCTTATGATGCCACACAAATTCTACGATTATCTTTTCTAGATCTGTGAAGACTATCTCTGGTAATTGGATTGGAATTGTGTTAAATGTGCAGATAAATTTGGGCAGAATTGCTGTTTTGATTATATTAATTCTCAGTCCAGGAACATGGGGTCTCCTTCCACTTTTTTAAGTCACTTTCAATATTTTTTTAAAGGTTTTCATAATTCTCCTTGTAGTGGTCTTTGACTTCCTTATTTAGGTTTATACCTAGGTATCTTATACATTTTGTGGCTATGGTAAAGGGATTATTTCTACCTCAGTCAGCTTGTTGTTCATATATAAAAATACTATGGATTTTTGAATGATGATTTTGTATCCTGCCACTTTACTGTATTCTTTTATTACTTTGAGAGGTTTTAAAATGGTTACCTTTGGGCCTTGTAAGTATGCCATCATATCAAATGTAAATAGAGATAGTTTCAACTCCTCTTCCTTATTTGAATGCCTTTTGTATTCTCTCTTCTGATGGTGTTGGCTAAGACTTCCAGCACTATGTTGAAGAGGAGTAAAAAAAAGGACAGCTTTGTCTTGTACCAGTTTTTAGTTGAAAAGCTTTCAGTTTTTCCCATTCAGTAGAATGTTAGCTATGGGTTTTTCATATATGGCTTTTTATTCTGTTGAGACATGACCCTTCTATACCAATCTTGCTGAGAGTTTTAATCATGAAAGGATGTTGTGTTTCATAAAATGCTTTCTCTGCATCACTTGAAATGATTATACTTTTTTTTATCTTTCTTTTAATGTGTATTATAGTTATGGCCTTGCG